CCCCAAAACCCCAAAACCCCAAAACCCCTTTTACCGGAAATATTAAATATTTAAAATGGAATGGTGGCTATCATACCTACTACTCAGAGTCATCACGTATAAAGCGAGGATAAGTATCGAGCTTGCACTAATGTGCCTTGGTAAGTTAGTTCAATAATATCCAGCCTTAATCACTATATTGGGAATAATAGACTTCTTGCTGATTAAAGTAGTGAGAAAATGAATAAAAACCAATAAAAAGCGCAATCATGAAGAAATTGAACTCAGGTATTTCTCTAAAATTCTATAATTTACGACTAATCTTACTCTACCATTAGAAAGATTCAAGAAGAGGATACAGATCAGCAGATTGAGGAAGAATCAAGGGAAAAGATACACGAAAATCAAAATTCAAAGATAGTTTATCGATCAGTAACCATCCCCGAAAAATTAATGATATCTCTAATTTTGTTCCTTGAGCTATTGATCTACATCATGATTTGACTGATGCTATTCACATTTATTATGTTTGAGACTAATCTGAGCTGGCTAATTATATTACTATACATGATTCTTTATAGTTGCCTTCCGATCATAGCATATTACAGGGTGTTCTCTGTTCAGGAAACCTTTAATATCTCCTTATTCAATGTCACCACAAGTGTAATAAAGAAAGGATTATTAATACTCTTATTGGCTTTCACAATTATAGTTATGATGCTTGTATCTCATTCAGCATGTGCTTGTAATCATAACTTTGCAGTGCCTGGTTTTACGGTAAACTCAGTAAGAATGAGCACAAGTTTTACTAGAAAATCATATGAAAGTTCTTGCTCTTTCATAAATTCCTCTTTATGTCATATTTATGCAACTCTCCCTGAAAATGCTCAAAACGAAGTATACATTAATATCCATGCATATCCTGAAAGCATTCAAAATCAGAAGATATTTCCAAAACTTTCATATAAATGGGAAGGATTTGATGGAGCTAGGTATGCTGGCCAAGAACCTACAATTGGAGAATATATGTTCCCAGATTCATTTGTGCAAGATAAAAAGATTCTCACATTTCATATTAAAAGTATTCCCAAGGATGCCATAATGATGATGAAAGTGGAAACCTCAAATTTGACACATATGTTTACATACAAAGTCCCTGACGGAGAGAACATGAGACTCCTTGTAGGCGGAGATGTGGGGAATGACAAATCTACTTTGCAAATGCATCAAAATACAGTTGAGAAATTAGACTATGATATCATCCTTATTGGAGGAGACATCGCATACGATAATAACATGCCATTCTGATACAAAGCATGGGATTATATCATTAAATACTTCCCTAATCTCAAAGAAGATAAGTTTGGAGGGCATAGAATCTTTCCTTTTATATTTGCAATGGGAAATCATGACCTTGGGGTAGATTCATACACTGGGTTAAAACTTACACATGATATCTATGAGCCTGTGATAAAACACTGGTTCCCGCAGAATAGTTATCTTAAAGAGGTTCCTTTAATAAATCAAAGAAAATCCTACTTTGCTCATGAATTTAATGAAATCCTCGTCCTCTCTCTAGATGCTGGTTATGAAGTTTCAATGGAAGGAGAACAACTACAATGGATGGAGGACACACTCAAAAGTTCTAACGCAAAGCTCAAGATTGTGCAGTACCATCCTCCGATAGTTGCTGGATATCAACAAAACAGAGAAGGAGATTTGAAAATTCAGAAAATAGGCAAAGAGAAATGGTTACCACTTTTTGATAAATATAACGTTACTATTGTATCTGAAAATCATTCCCATGTTCTTAAAAGAAGTAAGAGACTTGATTCCAAACTCCAGGAGACAGTTAACGGAACTCTTTACATTGGAGAAGGAGCTTATGGATTTTATTCACCACTAAAGCCACTTAAATGAGAGTAAGCAAGCACTTAATACCTTCTAGGAAAGTAATACCAGGCATAGTCTGCCAAAATAATCATGCCAAGGTCAGTCAGGAGCAAAATGTATGGCTAATTCATAAGCATGGGAGTAAAGTCAATCTGACTGCTTACAATGAAAAGCACACTATAATTGATGAATTCGAACTACATCTTAATTAAAATCTCAATTGTTTGTGCATATCAAGGGGTTTTGGGGTTTTGGGGTTTTGGGGTTTTGGGG